AGACAAGCGACAGGTCAATATATACTGCCGATCATCTGGAATTCGTGCATACATGAAACACGAGTTAACCGAGTGCATAGCCGGTCGTTCTCAATTATTGAAAGTTTAATCGTCGAATCGATGGCCGGGGTCTGGGCACTCGAGCGACGAAAGCGAAAAACGAGCAGCAGGGCACGTCCCGCGACAAATGCGCGCGGGGGTCGCGCGAAATTTGTTCGCGCCGGGAATTCGCGCTTAAATTATTCCCCGTCCGGCAATTAATTCACCGGATGAAAGCTCTCCTCTCTTTGCCGTCGTTGAAAAATGCTCGCCGAAGCGCGCTCGCGGCCGCGTACACGCTCGCTGATGCGAGGCATCGTCCGCGGTAATTCCTCGCCTAGGATCCGTCGTTGGAGACGAAAAATATAGACAATGCTGGTAACGAAACGTCGGGAAACGATCGGGGCGTCGGAAACGCGTGCTACGTCCCTGGGAGGCCATGCGCCGCGACCGGCGCGCCCTCTGGCTTCCTCGTCGACTTCCGCGCCCTCACGGCGGGCCGGAATAACACCGACACGGTATTTGAACGTCTTAGGTAAACAAATAGCCGGACGCGGAGGATTTTAAGGGAAGCAAACCGGTATTATTCCGACAGAATGCGAGACTTCGATATTAAACGCATGCAGATAAATGCGCATGCGCGATGTAAAGCGGACCTATGTGTTCATCGCAGTTTGCGTGCCACGCCACTCTCGCCCTCGAGATAAAATGAATTTCTAACTTTTCTTGAATATTTCATAGAATAGTCACCCTGCAGGGGGTGTGTAATAAAATAGTTCTCATTTTTGAACATTAACTTTTCAAATTTTTTGGTCAACAGCTTCGAATCTTATCGAAATTTTTATTGAAAATTCTACAAGGTGTCTCATTTGAAGTTTCGGACTTAATAATTTTCTGAACTATACTTCATTTCCAAAAATGTTTCAAATGGAACTTACCCTGTTTTGGGGGGCGTGGGGATCTTATAATGATGATAAATTTTTAATAAGTAAAAAATGGTATTAAAAAATTATTACATCGAGTTAGAACGTGGTAACGACGTGTACCTGAAATCTCGAGATCGACGTAACGCCCGTTCGAAAGAAGAAGTCTGATGGGAATGATGGCGGTAAGTAGAACGGAGAGGACTCGTATAATCACGGCAACATTGAGAAATGACCGAGCTACGGGAGCATCTGGTGCTCGGCACCAGGAAACGACTAAAGATTCCGCTGCTTTTCTTGTTTATTTCCTCGCGGTGCGAACGAGAATAATGTCCCGGGCGCCAGGAGCGTACCAGCTGCCGACTAGATCGATACACGTCGTTGTTATTGCGTCTGGGAACCCGGTACTCTGTATCCGCGAAGAAGCTAGCGGATCCCGAGGACCGTGGATCATCGAATGATCGATCCCGGAGGATCCAGCGTTACGGATCTCCCTGGTACCTCCTGTTCCACGAAAAATGCAAGGTGTGTTTCGTGGAACGAAGCTTATGAACCCGCGCGATGCTGCTGCAACGTAATTCGATAAATTCCTCGAGTCGATCGCTCGTTCGCTGTTTCGATCACCGTTTTACGGTTATCCCTATTTTTCCTGCCCGTCCACGCTCCAACGCGGGAACATTAGTTGCACATTTTACGGCCCGCTGTTAGCGCCATCTATGTGGATCCCATTTACGATAAGGACATCACTCGTCTTAGAGTTGTATAGTTTATACTAAATATAGTTTAAAAATCGTGGTACTTTGTTGCATAATTTTGCAACTGATTTATAAGAGCTTCGTTTCAGGTGGAATATGAAGAAGCGAGGAAATTAATACAAATTCTGATTCATTCGTTTTTAACGACTGCCAGGTATATGTTTAACTGAAATGTTTTAAACGATATGGTATAAATAGTAAAGAAGAAATTCGAAGATTGTATCAGTAAAATTAGAAAATAAATGGACAATCTATGCGATATTTATATATGACACGCTTATCGTAGATATGGACCGTGGTGGCGCTAGTGAGTTAAGTAAGAAATCGTCTTAAGGCTACGCTATACGCGACGGAAGATGAATCAATATTACAATCTAACTCCTTACTTTTTAATACATAAAATTGAGAAAAGAAACACAGAAACACAGAAAATAAATAGACTATATATGCGATACTTATATATGGCACACTTATCGTAGATACGGACCGTGGTGGCGCTAGTGAGTTAAGTAAGAAATCGTCTTAAGACTACGCTATACGTGACGGAAGATGAATCAATATTACAATCTAACTCCTTACTTTTTAATACACAAAATTGAGAAAAGGAACCAAAGCTATTGTCCTCAAATCTTAAGGTACACTGTTACACATATACACACAGGGACTTTACCAATACTTTAATAGTAAACGTTCGGATACTATCCTCTAATACACATACCAGAAAGAAGACACGTCTCTTCATAAATTTCGAAGCTAAATTGCAACTTAAATTACGAGCTTAAAATTCGTAAATAAGTTTTCATCCTCTTCTCACCTCGTCCTATTAGATTTTAACGTTAATTCCATTGTCAAAGGAAGCATCACCGACGACATCGTTCAAAGTCAAGCTACCCTTGTCGCACCACGGTTCCTCCGCGAACTGACACGCGAGCAAACACGCTCGCGTACACACGCGTTTGCCTGGGAAGACAGTTACGCGTCCATATCCACTTCGAAACGACAAAGCTACTTCGGATTAGGTGGATCCGTTTACCCTGCGACCGCATCCGCCGGTTTTACCGCGGACTTTACTTGTTTTAAGTGAAGCGCGACGTGACCTGCCGCAAACCCGCTTGTATCCCAGTCACATCGGCTCCTGCGCACGATCTCTCTGCAGAGACGTCTATCCGAGTATCAGGCGCCGCGGCGCCTCGAAATCCCGCAGATTCCGCGGCACGACTTCCGGATATGTACCACGTCCTTCAGAGAAGTCTGCTCGCGGATCTCTCCGTCTCCTCGCGAGGAAAGCACCGACTGATAGGGAATACGGCTCGGCAACTTCCTGTCTGGAGTAGCTACCGCGTGGCCTTGAAATGCGACGAGTCGCGGTACCGGAAGTGCGGGTGCCAAACACCATATTGGAGCCTAACTAGGTGTAACTGCTATAGTATTCGTGAGTTGCAATTTCTCTTTTATCACTCTCCTTGTCTTGGGATAAATGGAACTTTTAGTTTCCCTTTCCCCCCTCTTTTGACATTTTTAAATGACAGCGTGAATGACAAGATCGAACGAAAGGTTCGAGCATCTTGGAAAGTACATTATTAGTATGGTATTCACGAATTTTCATGTTTGGGATGAACATATTGTGATAGATATGTATATTTAAATTATAATTACTAAATTTAATTATACTATGGGTAATTGAAATAAAATTGGCTTCTTTCAATTTTAATATATTTTTCTGAAAACGAATTCGTAATACAAATTACTCTATCACGATCAGTTTTCGGGAAAACGTGTTTTTCTACAGACCCACAATTTTTGGTTAAAATGGAATATTATTAGATAAAACTTAAAAAATTCATTGTTATTTCACAAATTATCTAAGAGTATTCCGAGTTCATTAATGTCCATAATTATAATTATTCATGTTTCTAAGTAATTGAATAATAAACGTATTTTCAACGAATATTTTTGCATATTTTTGCAAAAATTCCTTTATCTGATACGAATTTCCTAGATAATGTCGTATTATGTAAGCATAGCACCTTGAATTTGCTATTTCTAATTATTAAAAATAAAAAATTTTAAATATTAAAATTTAAGTAGCTTCAGTGCATTATACGAATAGATAAAGAATAAGTATTACATTATCGAATTATCGGTTAAGAAATGATAAGATATTGTGGTATCGCAGGATGACTGGATCGAGCGTATTATCTGGAGTACGTGCGGAAGGTCGAATGACCTTGCGCTAATTATTATAAATTCGTAGCCTAATCGTCACCACACATTGCTAATTTAATCCATTATTATTTGTTATTTAATAAATAGAGCCTATTATTTATCACCTACCCAAGTGTCTCTACAATATAGTATATATATATATTATAAAATTTGCACCGTAATTGTTTCATACATAATATATTCGATATGAGATAGAAATGTATTTACACTATGCGACCTCTTTCGAAATTAGCTGGACTAACTAACACGAGTGAAATTTATTTACTTTCTATGTACCCCCTCCCTCCAGTGTCAGTACATCTATTCTACACACGCGAATCAAGAGTGCACAGTCATTGAAGTTCGCAATGTCCCTTTCTACATACCCTGGTGATAAAGAATGTAACAGCGTGCACATGCGGAAAAATATTATTACGCGGACGAGAGACGCACGGTCAAGATTTCAGATGGAAGTAGAGAGCTATGAAAACAGAGGCCATGCATATGCAAGAATATATGAATGAGAAAACGCAGCGCGGCAGAGGAATGGAGGCTTCAGGAAGCTAATAGCCAGGAAGACCATTGTTCTCGTTTTTATTATTTCATTATCGTCGCCTATGTTCCCTATTACTCCAGTGAAACTCCAACTACCGAGAAAATGCCTACCCATAACTTCCACTATTCTCTAATATCTCGGATCGACGCGTGAATTTAGCCACTTACTGCACAACCATAATCACGTCATTATCAATTCCATCTAGCGATTTGATCGATTACGATCGTCTGACGCGCAACGAGTTTTTCACTAACGAATAACAAAAGAAACGACGATTAAAATACGTCGGATCAGTAAGTCGAGACGTTTGTTTCATAATTCAAAATGGCGGACAAAAAGTCAGCAATCTTAATTTCACTCTTCGACGATATAATCAATTGCATCCTCAAGACGTTCTTACACACGAACAATGTCAAGCTTATGGTAATTCGCTAGCCTATGACGCAAGCTGTCCACTACTACGCAAACATCCACTTGTCTGCTGTCATTATCGTAGAACTAGTCCAACGCGCCACACTCTAGAGCAAAGTGCTTCGAGCTTCAGATCCACTCAGACAGGACGCAAAGTTTCAGGACGTCAGTTGGTCCGAAGTCATCCTCGAACCGCACTCGTTCCGATCCTCTGACAGTCTCCCGATCGACTCGAGACGTTTCCAGAGACGTAATCCTCTTGACATTCCTCGAGACTCACCGGAAGAATCCCTCTCACAAAGAAGAATCCCTAACATGGATCGCTGGGTGAAGAAATGCGCCATTGTCACCGGCGCTGCGTCAGGCATCGGCAAAGCGATCACGATAGCCCTTCTGGAGAAAGGGGTGAACGTGCTGGCGCTGGATGTCAAAACAGAGGGACTCTCGTCCCTGAGTCACCAGGTGAAACTCGGGCCGTCCACGAAATTGCACGTCATGCCTTGCGACGTGACCAATCAGGACCACCTGGACCAGGCTTTCCAGTACGCGGAGTCCACGTGGAACGGTGTTGATATTATGGTAAACAACGCCGGGGTGTTCGACAACACTCGCGTGATTGGTAAGACACTGCATGCTGACTGCGAGGACAGCAAGAATTGATGTTTAACCCATTAGCTGCCAAAATTCTTATATTACATGATTCTTTAATTTCTCGCTTTCCGTTTTTCCCTTAACTTATTTTTTACATACCTTATATACCGCGAGGGGTCATTTGACCCCTTACGAAATAATACCAGTACCTACACGTACCATTCTTTCAAACCAAATATTCTCCACAATCGCACCTAACCCAAACCTACCCCCTTTTTACCCCGATTTAATTATAGGAAACTGTGCATTATAAAATTATTGAACTTCGATTACCTATTATTATATATTCGTATGTTATTTTATACGTAATATACAATATAAAATCGCACAAAATCTGCACACGTTAACGTACCTTAACCCCTGGTGCTACGATTTAATTTCCGACCGTCGAGATATAATCAACAGCAGAGTCTGTCACACGTCGAGTCACTTGGAAAAATAACACGCAACTGAGATAGAAATACGTTATCGAAAATTAACTATGAGCTTGACCTGTGTTGTTGACATCGAGTCTTATCTACAAATCATAGTTCTCACCCCTGACACTCGATGTCCTCACCACGTGTCATACACGATATTGTAGACGAAGGTGTAAAGTACAATTGGAATACACTGCGAGTGAAATTCGCTTGTCTTTTCATTCATGAAAAACTCACGAGTCGGACTCGTTATCGTAGCATAAGTGGTTAAGTCTGCGCGTAACCTGCGCAAGGTCCAAAGACACGCTGGGGTGGAAAAAAAGGCCCTTTATACGGCGTGTAGACCCGGCCCATAAGGGACGAGGTATTACGCCCGGGACCTCGTTCGCCAGCTCGTTGGCGCGTTTTAAAAAATTCCATAAATTACACTTGCAGAGAGCGACAGGGCGACATTCGAAAGGCTGTTAAATATTAATGTCCTCGCAAACGCCGTGTGCACGAACCGGGCGGTGCGCTCGATGCGCCAGCGAAACATCGAAGGGCATATTTTCAATATCAACAGGTATTGTTGCTCGCGAGCCTCGTCTTGTCCGATCGTTCATCCGTTCACGCGAACCCTTCCGCTTGCACGCCGATGCATTTCGCTTGTCCCTTGGCGAACGTCGCTTCTGCTTTCCGCCATTTTCTTTTTCTTCTATGCGAGGGAAATTGTTCCGACATTGCTTTTGATTTCCGTCATTTTCTTTTTCTTTTTATGCGAGGGAAATGTTACGAAATCACCTCTGCTTTCCGCCATTTTTTTTCTTTCCTTTTATGCGAGGGAAATTGTTCCGAAATCGTCTTTGCTTTCCGCCATTTTCTTTTCTTTTTTCTATGCGAAGGAAATGTTTGAAAATCGCCTTTGCTTTCCGCCATCTCCTTTTTTCTTTTTTACAGCAGGGAAATATTACTAAATTACCTCTACTTTCCGCCATTTTTTTTCCTTTTATGCGAGGGAAATTGTTCCGAAATCGTCTTTGCTTTCCTCCATTTTCTTTTCTGTTTTCTATGCGAAGGAAATGTTTGAAAATCGCCTTTGCTTTCCGCCATCTTCCTTCTTCTTTTCTACAGCAGGGAAATATTACTAAATTACCTTTGCTTTCCGCCATTTTCTTTTTCCTCTATGCGAGGGAAATTGTCTCGACATTGCTTTTGCTTTCCGCCATTTTTCTTTTTCTTTTTTACAGCAGGGAAATATTACTAAATTACCTCTACTTTCCGCCATTTTTTTTTCCTTTTATGCGAGGGAAATTGTTCCGAAATCGTCTTTGCTTTCCGCCATTTTCTTTTCTTTTTTCTATGCGAAGGAAATGTTTGAAAATCGCCTTTGCTTTCCGCCATCTCCTTTTTTCTTTTTTACAGCAGGGAAATATTACTAAATTACCTCTACTTTCCGCCATTTTTTTTTCTTCTATGCGAGGGAAATTGTTCCAAAATCGCCTTTGCTTTCCGCCATTTTCTCTTTTTTTTTATGCGAAGGAAATGTTCCGAAATAATCTCTACTTTCTGCCATTTTCTTTTTCTTCTATGCGAGAAAAATGTTTCAAAATCGCCTCCGCTTTTCGTCATTTTCTTTTCTTTTTTCTTTTATGTGGGAAAAATGTTTCAAAGACACCTATCCTATCCGCCATTACGTTTCCGATTACTGTCTTGTATCTTTATTTTTATTTTTCGCACGAAGAATTATTCGCATAAAGAAGTATTCGCGCGAAGAACTGATCCCTCTGACCCTGACACCGTCATGCCATTCAAACGATTAACAACCGAGAAATTTTCTCGGAAAAGGAAACTTCAAATTCTCAATTACTAACCCAAAAATCAAGTCAAAAATCCACTTTCTCCAATTTACCTTAAAAATCGAACTTCTTCCACAAAGAACCATCGTGTATCTCATACCTCACATCTTATGATCGATTATTCGAGCCAGAGGAATCTACTTCGAGCACGAACGAAGAGACTCGTAGGCTAGAAAATTCACCATCGTGTCGTTACTCCGAGAAGCCTGGAAGCGTTGTCGAAGGTCGGGTTTCGGAGGGACACGCGTGTAAAGGCCGTGTTGTTTGAGAAAGCTGCCGGAAATTCCGCTCGTCCTGTTTCCACGCGGCCCGGCCGAGCGAAAAGTGGAAAAAGGTGGAAAAAGAGGGCTGAAACGGGGCGCGAGGGGGGTCGAGGGGGAGAAAAAAGAGGATGGACGCTTTTAAGACCGAAACAAACGTTCCGGCTGTTTGCGCTCGAAGTCGATTCGAATAAAACGCCGTGCAAATGGCCGGCCACGGGCGGCCTGTTGAAGCAATTTTTTGTTTCGTGCGGCAGCGTGCTGGGACGCGAAATTCCGAGTAGTTACCTTTTGGAAAAAGATGGCTGGAACCTGTACCCGGCTTGCAAACACGGCACTGTTGCATTAACGCACACGGTGAGGCGGGAATTGGCGGCCATTAAAGCACCGATTCGAATCACCGTAAGTTCGCGCGGCCTCCACCATCGCATGAAAAGCTTTTATGAGCCTTATAACCGCCACCTGTCTCTCGCCATTTTCCCTGTTACCCTGTTTTGTCCACAGGGCATCAATCCGGGCTTCGTCGATACTAATATAGGCAGTCACGTGCCGCGATTGGTGGAAGCCTTCAAGAACATACCCACTCTTCGACCGGAAGATGTCGCTGACGCTGTCATCTACGCGTTAAGCACTCGACCAGAGGTCCAAGTAAGTATTCTTAGCCTGCCAAGCTTTTGTATAAACTGAATCGATTGCTGTACCTCGTCGAGTGCAAATTTATTTATTTATTCGTCTCGATGGACGCTCGAAACTTGCCATTTTGAAATGCAGAGAGTAGGAGAACTGGAAGGAAGGCTAAAAGTGCCAAAATTTTGTGTGTCACAGTATTACCTAGGAACAGAATAGACTAAATTTTTATTATTCCAAAATTTCGTGACGTTTCTTCCATTGTCATTTTGATTTTTCCTTTCATAGGGTATTACGAGTTATAATAACCTTTGAAATATTCCTAAATCTAATTTAAAAAGAAAAAAAAAGGAAAAATCCGTGTGTTTTAAGAAAGGCTACAAGATACTCTTATTTATTATTTGTTCATTTATTGAAAAAGACTGGAGAAATTGAATTCCCTCTTAACTGAAGACACAATGTACAGTGTGGTGCATTTGCCAACATACATCCCGAATTAATTGTCCCAAGAATATTTCACTCCATATTTATTAATATCCTTTCAGCCTTTTTATCTGCACTCTCCAATCGCAAGAAAAGAATGCACAAATTCAATCACAGATCTGCAATTCACTCATCCAGGTCGTTAAGATAAAGACCACTCGCAATGACAGAAGTAGTCTCGAGCAATCCATTCAGTTTAGACACAGAGTGGCATAATGTTAGGGTGACTGATGAAATTCTAGATCACCGAGCTCACCATCCAACGCACGGGTGAAGTTTAATCCCTGTGCATTCGTAGTACAGTACCTGTGTGTGCCTACATATGAACAGGTCCCAAGGAGAAGCTACTGATAGATTTCAAATAAATCCAAAGAAGTTACTAAAAGAGTCTGTTTACTTCTCAAAACCTGTGAGTCATTATCCACGTAGAATTTAACAAAGACAATCCTCTATGATATGGTTCGTCACGTGCTCGTAACACTTAGCATAAAGATGGAGGAAAATTCGCGATTGACGCGAAAATTCGTGGCAGACGTGAAAATTCGCGAGGACGGTTTCATTCGTAGCCAGATTACGCGCTATTGATTACAAACTGCGAATAGTCGGTACGCAGTCGCGGCGTAATTACAGGGCCCGTTGCTCCTTAGGATGCAATGATTGATGCCATTATTGGGCTGCGTGACCGGACTCGGCATTAATTCGAGGCGAGCAACAGTTACTAACTACGAGTCTTCCCCTTGCCCGCGATCGGGCTATCTCTAATTAGCCGTAATCACCGTGTCGCGCTCGTTCGCCGCGCACGCACACCACGGGCCGTCATTAAATATTCCGTGTACCCGGCCGGAGCATATTTCTTGCGTTGATTAATGCGCCGGCCCAATATAATTTACGTAATGCGTTCGCTAATAGACCGCGGCTCGCGATTTCGTTAAATACACGCGGCGCACTCGAAAATTCCATCGCAATTTATCGCGGCGCCGAGGACCCCAACGTCAAACGTCCACGCATTAATTGACCGATTCGCCGAGAGACCGGTGAAAATTCAATTTCCGGCTGGACAGCTCGGGAACTAATATTCGCTGTTAGGTATTTAGTTCCTCTTTTCGTCGTGCTTCGAGTTAGAAGCGAGTTTTTGAAAGGTTATGGCGCACGGCCGGTTAACTCGGCGCGTTGACGCCGGGTGGCGCGACGGTCGCCAACATGGCGCATGCGCGGTCAAATACGAACCGGTAGTAGTACATTTATCGTATCTAGCGAGATTCAGTGAATATGTATAGTGTGAAAAACGTGTTTACGACGTGGATAAATGATATTTATTCGTTTCCTGTACTAAAAATGTACAATACTTGTGTATTGTTATATGGAGGTTATATATTCTGTTACGTATACAGAATGGATCCTCTAGTTATTCAAGAATTAATACAAAATTATGTTGTTGTAAATGTTAGGACGTCAAATGAAATTATTGCTACGTCTAGAACAAATTTTTTAGCCGACCCAAATTATCTAAAATTACTATACTGTACTATGAGCATAAAACAAGATGTTAAATCATTTTTATAGGAAAGGAAAACGAGATAAGAAATAATTTAAAGTTTTGTATATTATCGAGGGGAAATAATGAAAAGATAAGTATTATTGAGTTTGATCAAAAACTTTTTGCCAGGGGTAGTAGCAATGAAAGCAGACATAGTCATGTTACACGATCCACCATGAATGTACTATATATTCAATTGATATGGTTAAGTTTAATCTTATCCCTACAAAGACTCACAATAGTCAAAAAATAATTCTTTGCGAATTTTAGTGTATTCTTTATTTTCTTATACACCGAATATTCCTGCAGTATGAATATTCCTCTTAATTTCAATCTGTCAGAAAATAAAAAGGGTAGGAAAATTTGCAAAAAATTATTTTATAATCCAAATATCTTTTTTCCTAATTATAACTTGTTTCCTGTTAACCCTGTTGACACGAGTGTTAATTATTATCCGAACGTTCCTCGTTTCACATATGTTTTACTAACATTCAAGACTGTAAAACAGAGCTTCTATTCCATCCAATTCTACCCAAAATTTCTCAGAAGACGTCTAACTATTCGTCACCCGAGAACCCTGGAATCGTACGTTTAAATGACTAGTCGTAAGTTGTCGACTACCCGACTGACAGCATAATAAAAGGCAAAGGAGAAAAAAGAAGTTTGACGACAACAGAAGTCGCAACACTCGATGAGCTTGTACGTCAGCGTACGAGTGTACATTTGCTCGACGCTGGCAGCAGGTTTGCACGCAAACTTCCGACAGTCAAGGCAAAAGCTCGCATTGTGCACAGCTTTACTGTCACCCGAGGCATCTCGGTGCACGGGACAGTTAAGGTGTCAAACAACTTCCGTCGAGCTTCGAGCAGTTCGGAGCTTCATGCTCCAAACTTGCGGCCTCCACTTTTCACGGTTAATAACCTCCTCCAACCTTCGCCAATCTGTCACGATAAAACTGTAATTTATGAAAAACTTCGCCCCATCCTTACGAACCCCCACCACGAGGATGTAAGTTCCCTGCGAGGATATTCTTCCGGGATCTCGCTAATTTTACGCTTCCCTCGCGAAGAATCCAACGGAAATCGATCTTCCTGGCGGAGGATCGAGGAGAAAGCTAGTAATTAATATTCCTCCACAGCTTTCTAATCATTCTCAACGCATATGAGAATAAAATTGCAGGATAAAATCTCTTTGCCCAGTAAATCTCGAATTGCATTTTCTAATATATTTATTTGACTCGAAAATGATAGATAATAATTCAACAAATCGCCTATAATTTCGAGTATAAAAGCGACAGCTTAACGAAATTTAAATTAAAGAGAATCACAAAATGGAGGAAAAATTTGGACACGATCGAAGAGCTTATACTGTGGTCAAAATTTAGACCATCAAAGAATCAAAGAATAAACATTTTTCACAGCTCTACAAAATTCTGCATGGATCACATAGATCTTGACACGATCTTCACAATGCAATATCTGTTTTAAAAAATAATTAAACAAATCGCATATAATTTCGAGTATATTGGGAATTGAAATTAAAAGGAATCGCAAGTTGAGGTTAGGTTTGGTCACAGTCGATAAGCAGTATGGAAATTACTCGCAGCTCTGCAAAATTTCGCATGGATCACATAGATCCTGACACGATCTCTACAATGCATTAAAGAGTATATTTGGAACTGAAATTAAAAGGAATCGCAAGTTGAGGTTAGGTTTGGTCACACTCGATGATCAGTATGGAAATTTCTCGCAGCTCTGCAAAATTTCGCATGGATCACATAGATCCTGACACGATCTCTACAATGCATTATTTGTTTTAAAAAATAATTAAACAAATCGCATATAATTTCGAGTATATTGGGAATTGAAATTAAAAGGAATCGCAAGTTAAGGTTAGGTTTGGTCACACTCGATGATCAGTATGTAAATTTCTCGCAGCTCTGCAAAATTTCGCATGGATCACATAGATCCTGACACGATCTCTGCAATACAATATTTATTTTAAAAAATAATTAAACAAATCACGTATTCGAGTACATTTGGAATTGAAGTTAAAGAGAATCACAAAATGAGGTTAGGTTTGGTCACACTCGATGAGCAGTATGGAAATTTCTCGCGGCTCTGCAAAATTTCGCGAATCACCGTATTGCATCTCCATATTATTGCATCGATGATCATCCAAACCACAGCATCCACGTTTAAATTTCCCAAAAACGACGACAACGATGGAAACGGAAGAAAAAGGTGCAAACAAAAAGACAGGAGAACATGAGTATACGTATTGCCGAAAATTTCGCAATGGCGGGCACAGGGAATGGCTCTACTCGCGGATCGCGAGACGTGAACGTGGAACGATAAAAATGATCGATAAAGTCGTCGTGTCCTGCGACCGCCGCGGATCCGGCATTTAGGAATTTATATTAAAATATGTAAATTTATCGGTGCAGGCATATTTGAAAACAGATAAATTATGCTGGCCATGTATCGCGTTCCCGTGGTAAAATATATCGACGTCGGGACACGCAGAGTGGAGGGCGCCAGCGGAACCGGAGTTCCTCGCATAACGGCACGTTCTGTCGTCCGGCAGAAATACAATTTATGACGATCATTGTGTAACGATCATAAATTATCTTGTTATTTACGTGCCGTCCAGCGTTGATTTTCTCGTTCCGCCGTTTTTCTTTCACCCCCTCCCCCGCCACTTTCCTCGCGATCCCACGAAACCACCTGACTTTGTTTAACGATTATCCAAGGAAGTTAATCACCTTTCCGATTTTTGCATTAAGCTTCCGCTCGTTTAACCTGCCCACAATTACTTTATTTTCACACTGTACATATATATACCTATAATTATGAAAGTGGTCTAAGTCAACGAGTTAATAAGAACGATTTTATTATTTATTTATTATATGTATATTACGATAAAATATATTTATTTTCTACGAGACAGCGAAGAATTGAATCGTTAGATTGAGTTTGTAGCTTCATCGCAATTAATTTCGTAATTTATGACGTATTTAAAAGCCAAAGATTTTAACCCTTTGGACTCGAAGATTTTTTGATTAAAGAAGAGTAGAAATTCAAAGATTCTCTACTAATAAAATAAATAAAAATTATATAGTAATAAAATTGTAGAATTATTTGACTTCTATACTTCGCACACTGCTACATTACATCAAATTTGATATATTAATTAATATCGATCTTCCAAATTTTATGAAATGGTGACTGAAGCTCACCTCTCTAGTGCAAAGGGTTAATATTTCAGAAGCAAATATAAGTGACTTAGACCACTTTCATAATCATAGGTACATATATACTTGTATCTGGAAGTCGTGAGAATCTTGGAAACCTGTGAGTATGTGAAAGAAATATACTTGACATGGAAAATTATTTATTTATTTTTGAAAAGTTTCCAGGTTTGAATTTTTGTTCAGCCATTTTGAAATTGGCGGAGAAATGGGGATATTTGGAAACACTATAGCTGGTGCATAATTGTCCAATATTGTACTGGTCGACGATAACGAATATTTAATGTGTTTATGTGAATAATCGTACACTAATATTCGTGACATCCTCAACAGAATCATTGCTGTTATTATTTTAGGATTTGGATATTGAAAGACCTTTCTGCTCTTTATATTTATTTCCTAAAATCATCCTACATTATACAACAATATAAAGGAACAGAACATTCCTCCTGCCATGGACGATTTATACAAAATTTGTTGACAATCAACCTGTTAAAACGTCACAACTCCCAAAAGATAGAATTCAATTTTATTCATAATTGTTTCACCCACATTTAACTATTTTTGACACATTTTCTATCGTTTCTTCGTT